GGACTCCTGTATCCATAAACGCATACAAAACACAGAGGAACTAAGTCAAGCGGCTGACCCTCAAGATACGGCAAAATTTTGAAAAAGACCTATTGAATCGTGCTATGGAAAATCCAAAATTATTCTACATCTACATAAGAAGCAGCACACGAAACAGAGATCCAATCCCCCTCCTGAAGACTAGCGGAGACGTAGAGATTAGTGAGGATGGAGAAAAAGCTGAGCACTTTTCACAATTTTTCAAATCCATCTTTACAAGTGAAAGTCCATTTACTCTCCCTGACTACGACTTCGATGAGGGTCCAAAAATTGAGTCTGTATCTTTTGATGAAGCGACGGTTCGCAAAGAGCTAATGACGCTAAATGAGTCGAAATCACCAGGTCCAGACGACATACCGCCTAAGTTACTGAAGGAGCTCGCTGCCGAACTAGCCAAACCATTGTCCAGGCTTTTCCAAGCCTCGTTCGAAGCCGGTCGCTTGCCCGCCGACTGGAAATCTGCGCGGATCACACCACTGCATAAAGGAGGCAGCAAGGCCTCTGCAAACAATTACAGGCCAATTAGCCTCACTTCCATCTGCTGCAAACTCATGGAGAAAATAATCAAGCGAGAGCTGATGCGCTTCCTAGAGCAGCATAATTTATTATCTGATGCGAAACATGGGTTTCGTAGTGGCAGGTCTTGCGTGACTAACTTGCTCAACTGTTTGGAACGTTGGACTCGGTCAGTTGATGAAGGCAATGCGCTGCATGTAGTCTATATCGACTTCAAAAAGGCATTTGATAGTGTCCCACATCAGCGACTCCTGCACAAACTGAGCCGAACAGGCGTTAGGGGTAACCTCTTAAAATGGATTCAAAGCTTCCTGTTAGACCGTTGTCAAACTGTCCATGTCGGTGGCCAGAAGTCGACGGAGGTTGCCGTTGAAAGAGGTGTTCCCCAAGGCTCAGTTCTTGGTCCTACTTTGTTCATAATTTACGTCAACGATTGCGTGAGTGAACTGGATTGTGGTGTCGCTATGTTTGCGGATGACATTAAGCTCTGGAGCGTCATTCGAACTGCAGATGACGAAGAGCATCTGCAGGCGAACCTAAATCGACTCCAACAGTGGTCAAAGGCCTGGCTTCTGCCGTTCAACGAGAAAAAGTGTAATATTCTACGAGTCGGCTGAGCTCGCTCACCGCACCATATGGCCTACTGCCTAAATGGTATACCACTGCAGGAAGTGGACTCGCAGAAGGACTTGGGAGTATGGATTACGACCTCGCTCAAACCCTCGCTGCACTGCACGAAGATAGCCAAGTCTGCAATGTCAGTCGTCTACCTTGTCTAGCGGGCTTTTTCTGCCTTTGATGAAGACTGCTTCGCTAAAGTCTTTCGAACTTTTGTGCGTCCGCAACTAGAATTTGCTATCCAAGCTTGGAGACCCTGGACCGCGAAGGACCTCAGCATCCTTGAAACGGTTCAAATGCGTGCAACGAAACTTGTGGCAGGACAGGGTTCACTACCATATGCAACGCGGTTAGCTACCCTTGGTCTTTTTCCCTTGAGTTACAGGCAGTTACGGGGTGACCTAATACAAGCCTTCCGTATCATACGCGGTCAGGACTGCAGCCTCGTACCGGGTGACTTCTTCGAGTTAGCAACCACCACAAATCTACGAGGCCGTCCATTCAAACTACGTGTGACAGGGGCCGGACTGGACACACGAAAGTTCTTCTTCTCCAACAGAGTGCTAGAAGCCTGGAACGCCCTGCCTGTGGATGTCGTTATGTCTGCTTCCGTGGAGGTCTTTAAGAGGAAGCTGGATTTGTGTAGCAGTGTCCACTAAACTACCACCCCGATCTCTGTAACCTCGACAATTTCCGTTATTATAATACTACTTGCTATATTTCAGTAACATTTTAAATTTAATTTATTATTGCACCAACCCATCGCCTACGCTCACTGACATGCACATATGCAAATTTTGTCACCGGATATATTACTTATTTCGCTGCACTCGAAACGACAGCTCTACAACTGCTCGTACCACTAAAATTCGATAGTTTGTTTGTCTGTACAGACCTGACGCTCTTCCGATTATTTTTTCCTTTATGATACCTTTTCGAGTTTTTGAGATTTTGCAGGTGCTTGTAAACAAATAGGGAGTTCAAACGTCAAGACCTACATTTCCCTCAATAAACTGAACTGAACTAACAAAAACAACAACAGGCAACATTTGTAAAAATCTCCCAACGCTCATTCTCTAACCTAACCAGAAACCGCACAACGGAGCATGATATAGGGAAAATGCTAATACCGACAAAAAAAAGGAGACTGGTGAGTTTCGAAAGAACGGTCGCCCCTCTATCAGGATTAAGTTCCAGTGGAAATTGACAGGAAAAAACCCACAGTTCGGTAGTTAGATGCGTTGGACTTCTGAGTACACGATTACGGGTTAGAGTCACGGTTTCTGTGCACTTCGCGGTTGGGTAGGTTGGGCTAGTGACGGTTAATACAACGAAAGTGACCGTTATAGTCCCCTTTGTGTCTATTGATAATAAAATGTTACTCGTACCTGTGCTGTTTGTATTGTATCCCTTACTCTTATCCGAAGGCCTCAGCTAACGTTAACGCACATCTGTACGGCCTTTTTGCATCTGGCGAAAGCATTAACATTAGCATGAGGCAGTTAGCCTCCGACTTGTCCATTTTGGCTAACTGTCTACACGAACAAAACGCTAGTCATGCCTTGACCGTCGCTTACCGCCTAATATTATCTTTATTTCATCCACATCAGCGGCGACCGAATTTTCTTCAACTTGTTACATTAAAAGGCATAAAGATATGGCCCGCTGAACTTTTGGGGGTCTGCAGTAAACTACCGAATGACTAACATCGTACAGAAATTGCAGTATCCTCTAAATCGAGTAAATGGAATTTGCCGTGACCTCAAGACGTACAAGCAAGAACAACGTATCAGCCGATGCTTGTTTGTAAACGAAATAACAACGTCTTCTTTAGGAATACCATCATTTTTATGCGGACAAACACAATGCGAAGCAAATTTAAATGAATACGTATGATCCGCACTAATTTGCAGCGGATGATCCAGTTGTCATTTGTTATCTGATAGCTTTTTAAAGAAGATAAATTGATCAGATGTACGCTCATTTTATTTATTTATCATCAAGATAAAGCGGTAATCTAGCAAAGAGTATACCAACGAAGATTAAAAGGCCAATAAACAGCAGGTATGAGAGAAAGATTTTAGGGCGTTCAGAAGCCGGGGTTCGTGGTCTATCTCATGACAGAACGAATAGCTAATAAACGAATATGTGCATTTGTCGACCTTATTTTATTTAATATATGCATGAGTAGTTAGCCGACGTATTTTTGGGACAGACGTAGAGAATATACATACTTAAAAATAAACTCTAAAGATATATATGACGCGTTCTTAAGAAAGGCCCCTATCAATGGTAGGGGACGCTGACCGATCATTCTTACGGATGTCACTCGTTCTGTTGTGCCGCACGAGATCTCCCTCAAACCCTAACATCAGCCGCACGGCGGTTAGTCATATAGACAGAAGGGGTATTATCGACAAAGACAAACAAGACTAGAATAGCTATTTCTGGCTTATAAGCCGTCGTCAGCCAGACATATCTCACCCCGAAGTTTGGAACGCCCGATGCTCGAAATCGCGACATGTTAGTTAGAAGTAACGCCTGTAACCACGGGGTCACGAGCCTGTTGCCTTGTCGGTTTCGATCGGGAATATACAATAAGAGGGGGCGCTTACGTATCATCCTTACGAAACTCACTCGCTCCGTTGTTCCTTACGAGCCCAACCAGCAGCCACACAGTAATTCATGATATAGGTATTATGGTATTTCCGGCAAAGGTAAATGTGACTGACAGTTATTTTCCTTGTTTGACAACTAAAAGGACTCAATATAAGTAAATAAAAATATAAAGCTTATCTCAATACAGATTGCGACACTTATCGAAACTGTAACTAAAGTATAATCCTACGTTAAACGTTAATGTTCAATGAGTAAATAAAACATAAATTCGGAAAGCAATGGCTGATTGTTAAATCAGACAAATATCCTTTAAAGAATACAAATAATTTCATAGACGTCTACGCATTTGAACTTCTACTAAGCTCACATGAAAGACATCAGAAATATTTATTTTCGTTTGCCTGATACTCCACGTTCTTTCAAATGTAAATAACAATGAATTCGGGTAAATCAAAAATTTTAGAGAAAATCCAAAACGTACTTTCGAGGGAAACGATGCTGCATGTGAATTAAATAAATCAAACAAAATATGATATGATAAAAACTGAGTAATTGAGGACGCCTGGTAAAATTTAAAAATACAGCTGATTTTAAGAGCAATCACGGCGACACTCTGCTGCATTCGTTAATTTATACGAGAAGAATAATGAAACCAATAATTTAATAATTACTATTGATGAAACGAATCAGTAGATTTTGTAGTAGTCGTTTGCAGAACTGTCTGCGAAAAATTGTTTTCCAAAACAGGTGTTTTTTTCTGCTCCGCCTGACGTCTAATATTCTATTAAGTATTGTTTAAAAATTAGGTATTTATTTGGCGGTTTTTACATTGCATAAAAATATTGCATTCTGCCAGAAAAAGAGGAGAAATTCCGATATAACATACCTAAAAAATACAACTGGTTAAAACAGTAATCACATGGGCACTCTGTACCATTCGGCAATTTAAACGAGAAGAATAATGCAACGAATAATTTAATAATTACAATTAAAGAAACAAATCAGTAGGTTTAATAGTAGGTGTTTGCATAACTGTCCGCGACAAAAGTGTTTTCGTAACCGGTGTTTTTTCTGTGCCGGCGGACCTCTACTATTCAAGCAGATGTTGTTGAAAAATTAGATGTTATTTTGACGGTTATTACCTTGCATAAAAACCTCGTATTCTTTCAGAAAAGCGAGAGAAATTCCGACATAATATACCGCCATCAATGCCCGTCGATGCATTAACCATTAATGCTGCTGCAGATATAGGTATGTTAAATCAATGCAGGCAGTGGATAATAATAATGATGATCGACACTTTCAGGAGTTGATTTGATGTATGAAAATGAATGACGACAAAGCCACTGAACACCCGCAGCACTTCGTCAACCGGTGCATATGCAAAAGGGACGCAAGGTCTGACCAAACGGACAGCAATTTTTGGCTAACGTTTCCGTATGTCAAGAACGTTTCGGAAGCGGTTGGTCGCATTCATCCACCACTTGGAGTTGGGATTGTACACAGCCCGGAGACAACCATCAGGCGTCAGATAATAAAGCCAAAATGCGTTCTGACATGACAAGAATCGTCTGCTGCAGTTGCCGACAAATCAAATACATAAGAGAAACCAGAATACCGCTCCGAACGCGAATGTTTGAACATGCAGCAACGCTGCGGAAAATGATCCAGCCATACAATCAAATTCGTCTAGGCAGATATTCCTGCTACAGATTAAAACCGCGTGATCCGGGAGCTACTTGAATCATGGTTTACTGCCCTCTAGTCCATTCACAAGTGCAGTAATTCTCCACTTTCATACTTAGGGTTAAGATTTGGCGTAGGTGGAGCAATACGCCACGCGGGAAGCGCACATGTGAACACTTTGGGTTAGATAGTCGAGTAATCATCGCAACAACATTCATCGCACGTAATGCAATTGAAGAAATTAACGACGCGAATGTCTGCCCTCAGACTGTCAGCACACCAGGTGCAACGATCTCTGATGAACTGGGAGCCGTATCTATTCGTAGGTATGCGGTAGCATGTGCACTGCATGGGTGTAGGGGTATCCAGCGGTGGGTTCACGTGATGGTCGTAGGGGTCGCTCACTTGCTTGCAGGTGAGACTACGCCTAGCGTCCATTTGCTTGCACCTGTGGCTCCCTGTACCTGGATCTGCTCAGCGGCCACACCCCGGGCAACCGTCTCAACCGACGGGCTAAACCAGGTGAGGGGGTCCTGTGCGCTTGTGCCGCGTGCACACTGTACTGCGGACTCCGCTGGATGGATGGTCGGATGAAACACTGCGCCGGCATCGTCGAGACGAGGCTCAGCCTGGTACGCCGTTGGACAACTGCTGTCGGGACGGGTCTCCGCATCGCCGTCGCTGAGACGCGCCCACCCTCGCCGACGGAGACCGCGGACTCACTGCATATGCGGTCGTTTTCCACTACAAACATAAAAGTCGTGGCCCCATAGTGGGATTCGGTCGCGCCGACCAGGCACATGGGCAGCCCGATTCAGGGGCGAAACTGCCTGCCCCCACGAGGGGAAGGGCCTAGAAAAGGTGGCCTAAAAAATGCTGGGTACCACGCCGTCTTCAGGCTAGCCAGGGCCGCAGACATCTTATCATGGTCGAAACACTCAAAACTGAAACAACAACAATAACAATAACAACAACAACCACACTCATTCTCCTCATCCTACCTCTTCTACCTCTTCCTCTGCCTATTCTTCTCTTTCGTCATCTTCTTCTCCACCACCTCCCGTCGCGCCACTTGCTGTCACCAGACTGGCAGGGTGAGCCCGCTCACTCTGGCAGCCTGGAATATTCGTTCCCTTTTAGACAATCTGAGGAGCAACCGATCGGAACGGAGGACGGCGCTAGTGGCACGAGAACTGGCGCGCTACAAGGTGGACATCGCCGCACTCAGCGAGACCTGATTCTCCGAACAAGGCCAACTGGAGGAGGTGGGTGCCAGCTACACCTTTTTCTGGAGCGGCCGACCAAGGGCAGAGCGACGGGACGCGGGTGTCGCATTCGCCATTCGGAACGACATCGTGGGACGACTGCCCTGTTTGCCGCAGGGCATCAACGATCGCCTGATAAGCATCCGCCTGCCTCTCTGGGGAGGCAAATTCGCCACCATCATCAGCGCCTACGCTCCGACCATGACCGACCCCGACGCCGTCAGAGACAAATTCTACGAGGACCTGCACGCCCTCTTGGCGACTGTGTCGAAGGCGGACAAGTTGTTTGTCCTTGGTGACTTTAACACCCGCGTCGGCACAGACCATACTGCCCGGACAGGAGTGTTGGGTCCCCACGGTCTCCGCGGCTCAAACGACAATTGTCTGCTGCTTTTTCGCACCTGCGCAGAACACAGCCTCATCCTGACGAACACGTTCTTCTGTCTGCTGGAGCGAGAGAAGGCCACCTGGAGGCATCCTCGGTCGCGTCAGTGGCACCTGCTGGACTATGTCCTCGTCCGGCGGCCATATCAGCGGGACGTGTTGGTGACGAAGGCGATCGCGGGTGCTTACAGGTGGACCGACCATCGCCTCGTCATCTCAAAGATGCGTATTCGCCTACAGCCTCGCAGGAGACCACAAGGTAAGCGACCCCCAGGTAATCTGAATGTTGGCTTATTGTCTTTGTACGCTCACCATCACCATTTCAGCAATGAGCTAACTCAACGACTAGACAACCTTCCAATTGCTGCCGCCGACGACGCCGCTGCTGCCGAGAACGCCTCCGTGGAGAACCGACGGTTTCAACTGCGAGACACGGTCCAGTCGACGGCGCTCGCCTTCCTCGGTCGCGCTCCCCGCCAACATCAGGACTGGTTGGACGACAACGATGCCGCCATCCGAAATCTGCTTTCTGAGAAGAATCGCCTACACAAAGCCTACGTAGATCACCCTACTGATGCCACCAAAGCTGCCTTCTACCGCAGTTGCCGCCAACTTTAGCAACGACTGCGCGAGATGCAGGACGCCTGGACTGCTCGCAAAGCTGAGGAGATCCAAGGCTACGTGGACCGCAACGAATGGAAGAACTTCTTCTCTGCGATCAAAGCTGTCTACGGTCCGCCAACGAAGGACACTGCCCCTCTCCTCAGCGCCGACGTTAGCACTCTCCAGACTGAGAAGACACAAATTCTGCAGCGATGGGCTGAGCATTTTCGAGGCGTCCTCAACCGCCCTTCGGCCATCTCTGACGCCGGTATCGCGCGTTTGCCGCAAATGCAGACCAACGTGGAGCTCGATCTCCCGCCATCTCTCCAGGAAATCATCAGAACCGTGCAACAGCTCTCCAGCGGGAAAGCACCCGGATCGGACGCAATCCCTGCTGAGGTCTACAAGCACGAAGGTCCCCAACTGATGGATCACCTGACTGCGCTCTTCCAGCAGATGTGGCGTCAAGTCGAAGTCCCGCAAGATTTCAAGGACGCAACGATCGTGCATCTCTACAAGCGCGAAGGGAATCGCATAGTCTGCGACAATCACCGCGGCATCTCCTTGCTGAACATCGCTGGGAAGATCTTCGCACGAATCCTCCTCAACCGCCTCAATAACCATCTCGAACAGGGCCTTCTGCTTGAAAGCCAATGCGGTTTCCGTCGTCATCGTGGGACCACAGACACGATCTTTGCCGCCCGTCAACTTCAGGAGAAGTGCCAGGGGATGCGGACCCACCTGTACTCTACCTTCGTGCACCTGACGAAAGCCTTCGACACGGTGAATCGTGAAGGACTGTGGAAGATCATGCAGAAATTCGGCTGTCCGGAGCGATTCATTCAGATGGTGCGTCAGCTGCACGACGGTATGATGGCGCGAGTCACGGACAACGGAGCTGTCTCAGAGGCATTCGCAGTGACCAATAGAGTGAAGCAGGGCTGCGTACTGGCACCTACCCCCTTCAGTCTTATGTTCTCTCCCGTGCTGATGGACGCCTACCGCGACGAACGCCCCGGGATCCGCATCGCATACAGGACGGACGGTCGCCTCCTGAATCAACGGCGGATGCGCTTCCAATCGCGCGTATCCACAACCACTGTTCACGAACTCCTCTTCGCCGACGACTGCGCCCTGAACACCACCTCGGAAGAGGAGATGCAACGGAGCATGGACCTGTTCTCCGCCACCCTTGAGAACTTCGGTCTGGCCATTAACACGCAGAAGACGGTGGTGATGCACTAACCGCCACCCCACTCAGTCACAGCCCCCAACGCGCCACCGCAAATCAGCGTGAATGAGACCCACCTGCAAGTGGTGGAGAACTTCCCGTACCTGGGCAGTACTCTCTCCCGCAACACCAAGATCGACGACGAAGTCGCTAACAGGATCTCGAAAGCCACTCAAGACTTCGGTCGCCTCCAAAGCACAGTTTGGAATCGCCACGGTCTTCAGCTGAGCACGAAGCTGAAGATGTACAAGGCCGTCATCCTGTAGACACTACTGTATGGAGCGGAGACTTGGACGGTGTACGCAAAGCAGGCACGTTGTCTGAACCAATTCCATCTCAGTTGTCTTCGTCGCATCCTGAGGCTAAAGTGGCAGGATCGAATGCCCGACACTGATGTGCTGGAACTAACGGGAATCCTCAGCATCTACGCCATACTGAGGAAAAATCACCTGGTGCGCATGGACGACGAGCGACTACCTAAACGACTCTTCTACGGAGACGTCGCGACGGGTTCTTGCCGTCCAGGAGGCCAGATTCGCCGTTACATGGATACCCTGAAGTCCTCTCTGAAACGCCTGTAAATCAATCCCACCAACTGGGAGGAGCTCGCACTCGATCGACCGACCTGGAGGAGGACAGTGAAGACAGACGCTGCGATCTGCGATGCCAACCGCATCGCTGCCGCGAAAGCGAAACGTGAAGCCCGCAAATCACAACTTCGCCCAGTACGCAACGCCGCCTCACAACCGCTTCCAACGTGTCCTCGATGTCAACGGACGTTCCCGCCTCGAATCGGACTTGTTGGACATCTTCGGATTAACTGCGCCTCAAGAACGGCACCAACCATCGTCTCCCCGGCCGCCTCTTCCTGCTCATCTCCGCCGCCAACTAACACTGACTATTCTTCTGAACCACCACTCCCACCCTCCTCCCCATCCTCCTCCTCCTCCTCCTCCTCCTCCTCCTCCCACTCCTTCTTCCTCTTCCTCTCCTCCTCCTCCTCCCTCTCCTCCTCCACCACTGTCCCAACGGTGGCCGCTCAGGCGGCCGTCTCGCACATCACCAACCGCGACACAAAAACAGACACCACTCCCACCTCTCTCGACTCCAGCGATGAGGATCAGGACAACACCTGCCCTCACTGCGACCGCACCTTCACCTCACACAACGGCCTGGTCGGTCACTTGCGAATCTATCGCACAGAGACTGGCGAACCAGTGCCTGGAGCACCAACCTACATCCACCGCACTCGCCTCCACTGCCCAAACTGCCCTCGCACCTTCACGCACCGCATGTGTCTATTCGGCCACATGCGCATTCACGAGAGCGGAATTGACCACAATTCTGACACACCCATCAGGCCCAGCACTACCCTCGCTCCATCACCATATGCGCCCATCAGCACCACCACCACAATCACCACCACCACCGCTTCCTTTACAGCTTAAACCGACAACGTCGACCTCTCATGCCCACACTGCCCACACACACTCACCTCACGCATCGGCCTGGTCGGTCGCTTGCGAATGCATCGCACAGAGACTGGCGAACCAGTGCCTGTGGCACAAACATACACACACCAATCTCGTCTCAACTGTACACACTGTCCTCGAACTTTCAGGCACCGCATGGGCCTATTCGGTCACATGCGCATGCACGAGAGCGCAATTGACCACAATTCCGACACACCCACCACATCCACCATGTCCAGCACCACCCCTGCTCCATCGCCATACGCGCCCATCTCCACTGCCTCCCCTACAGCTGACACCGACACCACCGACCTCTCATGCCCACACTGCCGACGCACGTTCAACTCACACATCGGCCTGGTCGGTCCCTTGCGAATCCATCGCACAGAAACTGGCAAACCAGTGACTGGAGCACCAACCTACACCCACCAAGCTCGTCGCAAGTGTCCACACTGTCCTCGGCTCTTTATTGTCAATGAAGAGCCGACCTAGCTCTTTGAAACGTCAGCACTTAAACAAACCTCTTCCGGAGAGCTTGTCTTCGTCTTCCATAATACGATTATGTATGTCATGTATATTTTGACCGATTTTCAATAATTCGTATTGAAGCAACTGTGAAAAACTCGAACCCAAACGGCAAGAGGAAGGCTTAAGTACAGCCAGCACTCTAACCACTTGAGCTACGAGGCCCCGCCGGACGAAACGAGTTTAATCACATTTGGGTCAATTTACCCGCCCAACCTACAGCAACGTCTGCAATCCACCATATCCGATACATTTGCTAAGTAATTCGTCGAGATTCTAGCAGATGACTACTATGCTGACGTACTTCAAAGATAATTTGATTCCGCCGTGGTGTCCAGACGTTGAATTAGGTTTGGCGGGTAAATTGATCCAAATGTGCATAAACTCGTGTCGTCCAGCGGGCCTCGTAACTCAAGTGGTTAAAGCGTTGCCTGTTCTGAAGCTTTATCCTTACTTCTTGGGTTCGAATCCCACAGAGGTGTCGAGTTTCTTACAGTTGGTTCAATTTGGATTATCTGTGTTTTAATTGGGCCGATTTTGATCATAATTTGGAGTTGGTATTCCGCGTCCAAAGGGCTGTTTAACCAAAACGTTTCATTGAACATCAGCTTGTTTTAGAAATAAAGTATGCATCCGTGCCAAATTAATGTTATATTTAACGACAAACATGCCGCCTTTTAAAAAAATTGTCGACTAAATTGAACTTGTTTTCTTTCATGCGTAAAAAAGGAAAATATCTTCATAACTTCGTTATATAAATGAATTTGATTGCAGTTGGCTGAGGCGGTAACATCACCCACATTTTATACGATTCACTGAGTCCAAAAGAAATTCAAACTAACTGTTTATGAAGCTCGGTTTATGATCTCAGTGGATACTACCAGAAGTAGGAGAGTAGGTATATGCGCTGCAGTAGACAGAGCAAATAATTTATTTCAAATGTGATCAAATTTACTGCCAATGATGGAGCCTCATGACTTGGAGTGCAGAGCGTTTTCTGACCCCAAATGCGTCCCTTGGTATTATGCATTCGAATACAATCAGCTGTTGACAATTCCACAAACGGGGCAATCGAAATCTCAGAAATGGCAACTTAATTTGACTCTTTTACGAAAACTCTGTAGAGGATAAATTTGAGCTTGCATGTGAGCCTTCTGTTTCTGTCCCTAACCGCACGTGTCTGCGTGTGAGCCATTCAAATTTTTCTTCTGTTTTGTAATTTTCTGTCCGAAAACGCATGTATTAAAATTTTCCAGTGCACTTGAGTAAATATTCTTTCATTTTCAGCTCAGATTGTATCTTAAATATTAGTAAAATTTAAGAACTCTCATTTTGATCCCTTTACGGCCGAGGTTAACTAAAACCTACAGAGGAACCCACATAAAAATATCAGAAATTTGGTATTTGTGTTAAAGTGATTGAGACTAGTTAGTACATAACCCTAACAATGGTAGGTCGAACGCTGCCTTTTATTGGTTAGGCAATGTAGTAATTTGTATTAATCTACGGTGTTTGGGGGAAATACGAACATTTAAAGATCCAGCAACATATTTTATTTCAGTTTAAATTTAGAAATCGAGAACATAAAATAGATACAAACGAAGTGTCGCAAATTTAAGGACAGTCGAATTAATCGAGGTGCTCTGAACACTATCAGGATCAAGTACATTGCTTAGTAGCCCAAATGTGCATAAGTTTTTTATCACAGTATTGGCAGAAGTTTAGTAATTTAAATTTGTCAGCAATGATTTCAGTATTAGACTGGAAATCTAATAAAAATAAAAAGGAAAAAGCCACTAATAGATAAATAGTAGTATTGTGACAATCAAAATAGAGCACTGTGACATGTAGCGGCACGTTGCTACAGCTTGCGCTAAGAGGCCTCGACAGATGCAGACATAATGATACCTGCTGAGAGAGCATTCTAAGCCCCAGCTATACCACCGAACTTTCCGTATTTTCAGCCAGACGCAGTGATGTGAAATTTTGATTTAATGTCCTTGTAGGTTCCTTGTGGTTGTTATCTCGGAGAAAATTCCTGATAATTGACAGCAAACCTAACGGTGCATGACATGAATTATTAAAGCAAACTGCCCCTTAGCAAAGTAGTTGATAGTAGATAACCGATTTTTGTAGGGAGTAAACCTTGTACACTAATGAGTTTTGTTTTACGTCTTCGAACTTTCTTAAAGATGCCGAGATCTTTAGTGGTGCACGATTTCTGCGCTTGAATAACAACCTACAAATGTGACCCCAGAAAATGTGTGAAAACCTTTAGCAGAGCAGTCCCCATGAATGGTAGATGAAGAACTGGAGACAACGTATATCTTTAACGACGTGTAATTGGTTAAATTGGAGTAGTAGAATGACCTGCACACCCAAGTCCTTCTGAGTGTCTGCCTGCTGTGATGGTGTGTCATTTAGGTGTCAGACCCTGTGGTTAGGGTTCCAACGATTTGTCAAACGTTTCACTTACCGACATAGCCGACACATCAATTCCTACGACAATTTCTGCAGCCGGTTTTGACTTGTCTGCGAAGGCTCTTTCTCAAATTTAGACCCATAATGGTCCTACAATACCATAAGCAGCAGACATGGTGACATCATAATCCAATTCACTGAAACAGTAAATGACATATATAATTAACAGGGCAAGACTACGATAGGAGTCTAGGGGAACACTGCTTTCATCTTCAACCTCGGCCGAATGACTGTCACAAACATGGACAGCCTGGGGGAGGTCGGCTAAGAAACCTAGAATCCACACACGGAGAAAACCACTTGTGCATATTTAGCTGAGTTTGTATAGGAGTCGCTGATTTAGTCCACCTTCGAGCGCGTTCGTACGGACCAATATGCACAGAATTTACTGCATTTCCGATGTCAACTGTCCGAGTTCAGTCTTCTAAACAACACAGCACGCTCGTCATGCATAACTTGCCTTCACGGAATCCACATAGAACTTTACTTAGCACGTTATGCTGCTTGAGGTATCCCAATAGCTGCGGCTGAATTGTTTTTTTTTGACAATTTTGTAAATGATGCAATTGAGTCTGATTCGCTTTCATTTGTTTCCAGATCATTGCCGTCGATTGTATACAATGCTGCAATCCGTGCATGTTCTCAAACTGTAGGTAAGTAGGCTACCGCAGCAGCGGCTTCAGAACGCATGATTATGGTTCAGACAGTTCTCTCATAATCTTCTTTAACAAATGGGATGGCATGTCGTCTGGGTCAAGTGCTTTTTGACTTATTTAGCGTTATCAGATCTCCGCGAACGATCGTTTAGGCAAAGGAAGTAGTCTCATTCGCCGAGGCATTTGAGTTTCATAAAGGAAAATTTTGGGAAGGGCATTTAAACTTCCTATTAGTTACAAATGGTTTGAGAAAACCATTGATAAGGGGAAAGTTGAAAAAATATTTGTGTGCGTAATTGTATGCGAAAAACATCCCCTTCTTTGCTAGTCAAAAATCGGGATCATTAACGGTTACTCTCTTATTATAAGTAGGTAAGCGTATTTAGGTTTCGTGATAAGTTATGTAGCCTAAGGGGGTGGCTTGTAGTTGAGAAGCTTGATACGCATTGAGACTACACTCAGATAAGTCAATTGTTGAAAAGACTACAACATCAGTAGGCAGGGCATTCCACGCTCTGCCTTCCCTGTTACTGAAAAAAGAACTTTCACCCATTGGTACTCGTTTTATTAAGCAATTACCACAAAAAGTGGGCATGTTAGCTTGAGTGAAGAAATCCCTGGGATCTAGGCAACAGTCCTCCAATAAGCCGCGGTCGGAAGAAATAAACCTATCGCTTTATGTAAAGGTAAACGACAATATGTGAAAGATTCACTGGGTTTGTCTTATACTAGCATCCTTTTCGGCGAGTAAGTTCCTGTTTTGCTGGCGCCTTCCATTATAACCATAGAATCATCGGCGCTGTTTGGTGGATTGTTTTTCAAAAATATATCAAAATAGTTATCTTACCAGGTTCCCATGCCTTTTGAATGCAATAATTGACCCAGGGTTCCTCTACGAGAGCTATATTTTCCCAAACTTTCGGTCCTAATTCATTAATTTTTGAAGATGTAATTTAGTTATTTGTGTCTGTGGTTCCGTCTTTCCCTTTGAATAGGTTATTGATTTCTTAGAACAACTTGGCAAGGCTCACCAAGCCAGTCCATAATTCAAATCGTTGTTGCGATCGCTGTTGTACATAATGAGCATGTTTGGGACAAGGACGGTTTCTTGATAAACACTGGTTTGCTCACGTAACCCTCAGTGCTACCGTCTTGCCTCGAACCGTTTCCAGATATTCAACTTATATACGAACCAGTCTATCTACCCGTCAAGCCGATGCCTTGTACAAAAAATACTATTCTGAATATTAGTAACATCGTGAGAAATGACAAAAACATGCTGATTCGTCGTACATCCAATTAAAATACTACCTA